GGGCCTGGGTTCAGAAGGGTTACAAGCAGCATCTGGTTGGGCTTCGAGAATTATCCTGAAATGGCCCAACTCTTTCCTTTTCTATTCATTTTAACCCAACAAAATCCTTTTCTTCTTTTCTTTTTCTCTCTCTTTTTTTAATAATTAAATTAAACCCTAAATTAATTCTAAAACTAAATTAAACTACCAAATCAACTTAATTAACTCTAACAATTATCACAAACTAATCAAATATCAAATTACATGAAAACTAATAAAATTCAAAGCCACGAATTAAACAATGCCAAAAATAAAATATTTTTTGTGATTTTTGTATTTTTGTAAAACTTCTAATTACTAATTAGTTCCAAAAAAATGTAAAATTAAACCCTAAATGCAATGCATATTTTTTGTATTTTTATATGAATTAAAATGCACGGACAAAATGCAAGCAATTAACAGAAAATAACACAAAATTCACAAAAGTGTAAAATAATGAAAGAAAAATTATTTTGTTTGAATTTTTTTTGGGAACGATTCATATATAGGGCAAAAATCACGTGCTCACAGTGAGTAGCCTTTCTCCATCCTTTGGTTTAGCCAGCAACGGTGGATTTGACAAGTACGCTTTTAAGTTTTTAAGCGCTTGTTGACATTCTTCAGTCCATTCAAATTGATTTTGCTTTTTCAACACTAAAAAGAACTTAAAACTTTTCTCCGAAGATTTAGAAATAAATCTCCCCAATGCTGCTATCCTACCTGTTAACCTTTGTACTTCTTTTTGCTCGTAAGTATATCCGGTATCTCTTCAATAGCTTTAATCTGCACTGGATTTACTTCAATTCCATGGTTAGAAGCAAGGAAACCTAAGAACTAACCTGACGACACGCCAAATGCACATTTCTCGGGATTTAACTTCATATTGAATTTGTGGGAATCTGAAACATATCTGACAGATGTTGAATATGATCCCCGCCTATTGTGATTTGACTAGCATATCATCGATATAAACCTCCATGGTTTTTCCCGGATGTTCTTGAAACATCTTAGTTACTAACCTCTGATACGTGGCTCCAGCATTCTTTAGGCCGAAAGACATTACTTTATTACAGTAAGTCCCCCTGTCTGTAATAAAAGGGGGGTTTTCCTCATCTGAAGGATCCATTTTTATTTGATTATAACCTGAATAGGCGTCTAAAAAAATTTATTGTTCGTGTCCTGCAGTAGCATCAATTAGTTGATCTATGTGCGGTAATGGAAAAGAATCTTTAGGGCAAGCTTCATTCAAATCAGTATAGTCTACACAAACTCGCCATTTACCATCCTTGCTTCCATTTCTTCTGTTTGATAGGCGTATATGTCGGATCTTCATTCATCTTATGGGTTATCACCTCCGATGGTATACCTGTCATATTTGAATGGGACCAAGTAAAGCAATCTGTGTTAGCTTTTAAAAATTCAATTAACTTACTTTTCATCTCTGGGCTGAGGTTGGTTCTGATGTAGACTTTTCTGTCTGGCCAATGGACAAACAACACCACTGCTTCCAGTTCCTCTATTGTTGTTTTGATGTTTTCATTTTCGTCTGGTTCTTGAATAGTATCAAGCCTCGAGTCTACATCCATTTGTCCATCTGCAGTTGAGGCTTGTGTTGCTAAACCCTCAACTAAATTCTGTAATTGCTATTTTTCACATGCGACGTCATTTTTTACGCTTGAATCTGCCACTGAGTTAATGCTTCGGGAAGCCTGTTGATCACCACGGATTTGTCTTATTCCCCATTGCACAGGCAACTTGATTACTTGATGTAAGGTAGATGGAACAACATCCATCTCGTGAATCCAAGGTCTGCCAAGAATCATATTGTACGCCATGTCCATATCTATTACTTGAAATTTAGTATCTTTGACTACTCTTTCTGCGAATGTGGTGAGTATTATCTCCCCTTTTGTAACAACGCTCGAGTATCAAAACCAGACAAGGTATGTGATTTGGGTACCAATTTACCATCGGCTTGCATCTCGTTTACCACTCTTAGCAGAATGATATTTACAGAGCTACCTAGATCAATCAAAACTCGTTTTACATTAGTATCATGTACAAGTAAAGATATTACCAGTGCATCATTGTGTGGGATCAACACGCCATCTGCGTCTGCATCATCAAATGTTGTACTGTCTTCTTCCAAAACTTGGTGAACTCGCTTCCCATGGGTAACCGTGATTTTTGACACCTTTTTTGCTGCTGTATATGTTACGTTGTTGACCTCCTCTCCTCCGCTTATGACATTAACTGTTCTTTTTGGTGATGGAGGTTCTGGTGGCTCATGCCTATTCTTCATATATGCTTGCTTACCTTTCTCACTAAACAATTCAGTTAAGTAACCTTGCTTTAATAAATGCTCAACTTCACCTTGTGGCAGTCTGCAATCTGCTGTTTTATGACCGTGATCATTGTGAAACTCGCACCAGAAATCGGGGTTTCTCCTGTTCGAGTTTGATCTCATTTCTTTTGGCCAACGCACTTTATCTCCCATGCTTCTTAAAACAACTACCAACTCAGACGTGCTAACATTGAAGCTGTAACCACCAATCTTTGCTTTTGAGCTTCTGTCGTTGTCTCTCGTATCACGCGTATCTCGCTCCTTTCCAAACCTGGACGACGAACCCGAATCTTTGTCCCTTGATCTGGAATCATACCTGGGGTTTTCTTGTTTTGAACGTGAATCTCTTCCTGCTGGTCCCATATAAGTTTCGTACCTGTTTTTACCAAACCTTTTTTCAGTTTTTGGCCGCCTTGAACTTACTCTTTCATCTCTCTGGGACTGAGTGATAGTATCTTCTTCTATCCGCAGCTTCGTGTTGTACCTGTTGTAAACATCATTCCAAGTTGTTGCAGGGAATTCTCGTAAGCTTTCTTTGAGTCTCCTTGTGGCTTCTGAGCTTTTTTCATTTAAATTGCTTGCAAATGCCATAGCCGCCCAATTGTCAGGTACACGTGGTAGCATAATCCTTTCACGTTGGAACCTATCTACGTAAATTCCCTGAGTAACTCCGTATCTCCTTGTTTTATTTTGTAGATGTCTTCCATCCTCTTCTCAACTTTCTGAGCTCCCGAGTGTGCTTTTATAAACGAATCTGCAAGTTCAGCAAAAGAATTAATAGAGTTTTCAGGTAAAAGAGAATACCATGTTAATGCTCCCTTTGTGAGCGTTTCACCGAATTTTTTGACTATTACTGACTCAATCTCTTGCTTAGTCAAATCGTTGCCCTTTACGCCTGTTGTAAATGCAATCACATGATCTCGAGGATCGGTTGTCCCATCGTACTTTGGGATATCGGGCATTTTAAACTTCTTCGGGATAGGCAAAGGAGCGGCACTTGGCTTCCAAGGTTGTTAAGAGTATTTTTCCATATCCATTCCGTTGATTATCGGCGGAACACCAAATATCTGTTATATGCGTTCGTTCTGCTCCTTGAGTTGTTTCTGCAAAGTTAGTACTAAACTTTGTAAATCAGAATTAACTGGGATACCTGACCCTCCATCGCAAGATTCGCTGAGAGTTCCTCCGCTGCCCGAATTAGCAAGCCCTGAGTGTGGATTCTCTATGGTCGCGGTGTTGTTTGGAGGTGGAGTTGGTGGTAACGATGGCAACCCACTAACAAAAGCTTGCAGAGCATTGCTGACTTGTTCTGCAATTAACTGTTTCAATGCTGCATCGATATCTTGATCGTCCCCATGTTGATCATTCACATGCGATTCAGATCTATCAGGTGTCCTTTCTCGAGGAGAGTTTCGTGGTGAGGGGATTGGAGTTCCATCTCCTTGTTTATTGAGTAGCCTGGCTACTCCTCTCGAAGTTGGTGGCAATCTTCGGTCCTATGGCCGTGAGTATTATAAAATTCACATACTAAGTTATGATTCCTTTGGGAAGGATCCGACTGTATAGGCCTGGGCCATCTGGTGTCTCTGATTTTGCTGGTGGCGAAAATGATATCCAATACATCGACNGGTTACTGATAATCAAGAGAAGAAATATTCTTGTAATAAGAAAGGAAAATTAGAGTATGAAATAGCAAAGTAATCAATATAAAGCAAAAGTAAATAATTGTATTTCAATGATCATCAGAACATGTCCATACAAATGACATTTCTATTCCTTATATAGACATTTCTAAGTACAACATCTTTTTCCCTTTATGATTAGGTCATTATGAGCATTAATGACATTAATGGAACGTTATAACTGGTTATCGTAACTATTTCGTGAAGATTCTGTAACGTTTGTAATCATTTATGCTCATTAATTGAAGACTAATGAATCTCTCCTTTTTCCTGTCTTGGTTCATTCCACCGGTGTCTTTTCAAATTACTAAAGAGACTCGAGCAACCGTCCTTCTCGTCCCTCAGACGTTTTACTCGTACCTATTAAGACTCACGTCTTTTTAAGTACTCTTTTCCAACTGTCACTTTTCTAATGACCCACGTGTCTTGCCATGTCAGCCACACAATTAATTCCAGGTATAATTTATTTTCCCCCAATACACCTTCGATGTCGTATTTCATGGAAATTAACCCCCCAAAAAGTGATATGTAGTGAAATTGTACTTGAGGTATCCTGTCTATTATAAATATTTTGTTTTTGGTTGTTGATGCAAAGACATCAATTAGAATGTTATCACTAATTCCAACTCCCAACTTTCCACATAAAACTGAATATGCAAGTAGGATTAAGTTATAGTATACTTTACCCCCAGAAGTTACTTAGGTTTGGACGTTGGGTCAAAGTGGACTAAAATTTGGGTCTTAGCCCGATTCGTCCAACTCTTATCAAGCTTTAATTAATATATATTTATTTTCTTATGAATTATTTAATTATTAAATAAAAAACTTTTTTTCTTTTGTTATAGTCAATATATAACATTTCAAACAAAAATTGAGTTACTTTTAAGATTTAGCAAAATTACTCATAGATCAATTTGGGCAAAAAATTGACCCAATTTTAGATGCGCTGATATGGATTGAGTCAAGATAAACTAAGTTCAAAAATAGGTGAATCAATGACAGATCCAATCTTGTGCTTTCAAATGGGTTCGGACTCAAATCGGCACCCCTAAATATCACATAAAAATACAGCTCAACATTAACAAAGCCTGAAGAATTAACTCATCCTGCAGTTTCCAAAATGCTCCAATCTCTAAAAACATACCCAAATTACCATGACTAAACATACTAAGCAACAAAAATTTACACATCAATAGTTCTAATTCAAGCAAAAGATTTCAAACTCCAGTTGATCCAAAGCCTCCGGAGCCTCTAACTGTCGAGTCTAGATCATCAACCTCCTCAACGTCTGGCACAATGATTTTCTCTATGATCAATTGAGCAATTCTGTCACCAATTTTCACTTCAAAATCAACATCGGAATGGTTGAAAAGAATAACACCTACTGGTCCCCTATAGTCTGCATCAATCACACCTGCCCCAACATCTATTGAATGCTTCCATGCCAATCCTGATCTTGGAGCTAAAAAAGAAAAATTCACAAACTAATAAGCCCCTAAGGCCTAATCCTCTAGAAAATGTAACATGAAATTTCAAAATATCCAGCCTAGAATAAAAATCGAGAACATTACCCAGATTAACTTCTTACAACTTATGGACTATCAAACTAAATCATTTTCCACCTCACATTCATTTATCCAAGAATGTTAAATACAACCTTAACTCAAAAGATATTTAAAAGTAAACTCCTTGTTGGATTCATACTCTTGAAAATAAAACAAGTTACTACAAAAAGTAAAAGTGACCTAATAGTGTAAAAATTCGTTAAAGTGAGAGTGTATATAACTTAAAAACATAAGAATAACTATCTTCCGGTTAATATATTTATTTATTAATTTTGCAAAATCATGAACTCTTTAAGGTGCACATCTAAAGTAGACTCTTCTTTTACAATTTGTACCAATCATCTTTTCTATTTTCTATTTATGTGTTTGGTATTGATGGAAATAAAATGAAAAAAAAAAAACAACAATATACCTATACGGGCATAGGTTCCTTCAGGAACGGCAATACTAAGATCTGTGGGTACTAGAGCCTTTCCCCTGGCTGGCACTTTTGTCTCCGCTGCACTGCACCAGAAGTAGAAAAAAAATAAAAAGAATTACAGAAATAAGTTACATATTCCCAAAATTGATTACACACCAAATTGAGGGGGAAATCAAGTTTTGTGAGATGGTTCATAAAATTCGTCAAAAGGAAAAAGGGGAAACCTGGAGAGATCGTAGCCAGCGGAAAGAGAGGAGCCTCTGGATGGCAAAACAGCATTATCTGAGAGCTTTTTGACGCGGAAGAAGGAATTGATGCCATTTATAGCCATTTTTAGATGTGGAAATGGAAAAGCTCGAGAGGAGAAATTGTAATCGCGGTTTAATTTGGAGATGGAGATTGCGGAAGAAGAGAGGTTTATAACTGACTAGGAAATGTGGAATAGCGCCAAAAGTTCCCGCCATTCTGACACAAAATTGGGCAAACGAAAAGTTTTATTGTGTGTCTCACACAACTTATATTAGTTGTGTGAGGTTCCTTTTTGTCTCACAAATTTGTGGGCCCCAATCTTACACTTCTGGGTCCACAAAACTGTGAGATAAAAAAGGAGCCTCACACAATTAGTGTCAATTGTATGAGACACAAAATAAAATTTTCCTAGGGCAAACCTAATACTTATGTGTGTATAGATCAATAAAAAGAAAAAAAGTTAAAATCTAAATGGTGATAAGTGTGACTTTTTTATATTGTGAATGCAATGTACAATGTAGCATGTTATAATATATTATTATTTTTGCTAGGTCTGTAATTACTAATAATTTTCTAGAAATTTATTTGTAATTATCTCATAAGTAACTTGATTACGCAATTTTTTTATACCATTAATTTATAGAAGTTAATTCACGAAAAGAAAAAAGAAACGGAATATTTGTATGGATGAGAAAAATAATAATATGTGTACAAGAAAATAATACTTCATATTATCTCATTTCTATCAAATTTGTATGGCCATTTTTTAAAATTATAACTGATTGTAATTTCTTAAAACACTAAAGTTGTATCAAGTAGCTACGTATGAATTTCGGTCGCATACAAGTAAACATAAACAACATTTCCCGAGAAGTTTTATTTTGCGTCTCATACGACTGACACTAGTTGTATGAGGCTCTTTTTTGTCTCACAAATTTGTGGACCTCAATCTTACAATTCTGGGTCCACAGAAATCTGGGTCCACAAAATTGTAAGAGAAAAAAGTTGCCTCATACAACTAGTATCAATTATAGGAGACACAAAATAAAATTTTCCACATTTCCCCTTCAAATTCTTGATCCAAATTAAAGATACAAGCACATCCAAAAGAAAAAGTCACAAAAAGTTTTTTCAAATACATAAGTTTAGGGCCTCCCATCTCCACCAAAATAGCTCTTTTTATGTCCTAACAATATTAATCCATACCACACAAAATCACCTACCACGTGTTTACCTTTTACACTTGCCCTTTTTATCGACGCTTCTTATGCATAGAAACTATCTTCTCAATGCGTACTTTACGCTATATCAACCTTACTTCCTTCTCTTACACTATACTAAACGTTAACACCATTTACATGCAAGAGGTGTTACATATTTCCTAAAAAATACACACTTAATTAATTATATTCTTGAATTAAGAACATTAGAAAATGAGCCAAGAACAGCCAAGGAGGCCAGAAGAAGCCGAGCAAGAAGCCGTCAAACATGAGGATCTTGTGATAGATGTTCAAGGAGCGCTTGCTCGGAAGAAAGCTGTTGCTGAGTCAATTGGTGGACAGGTTCTAAACTAACATGTTTTTCACCTTTTTTGTTATACTTTTTCTTCTATGTTTCATTTAATTTTTTTCTCAATATTCTTGAGTCGAGGGTCTACCAGAAACAATCTCTCTACCTCTCTAAAGTAGGGGTAATGTCTGCATACACATTACCATCCTCACGCCTCACTTGTGTTGGGTATATTGTTGTTATTGTTGTTTCATTTAATTTTTAAGAGTGGTGATTGGATATTTGATCATAGCTAGATACCATTTTCTTTTGAAAATGTGCATGTACACACATATCAATGTTTTTTATGCTAGTGATCAGGGAAAGAGGTAGAAGCTCAACTGCGAGTGCCACTGAACCTACTATCTTTTGCTCAAATAATATAGGGGCGGAGGTAGAAGCTCAACTGCGAGTGCCACTGAACCTACTATCTTTTGCTCAAATAATATAGGGGCAGAGGTAGAAGCTCAACTTCGAGTGCCACTGAACCTACTATCTTTTGCTCAAATAATATATTTGTGTTAATATATATATTCGTTAAATATGTAGACAAATTAGATTTAAAATTCAATTATTTGTACTTGAAATTGTCGTTAATATTAGTCTCGCCTCTGCTAGTGATCAAATTGATGTTGATAGCAGTATTTTAAAAGGCGTTTTCGATCGAGCCCCGGGGCGAGGCGCACCAAAAATGCCCTGAGGCAATGATGTGGGGCAAAAGTCTCAAGAGGCTATACGCCCAGGCATTCGGGGCATAAGCCGGGCGTTTGAGGCACATTTTTATAGTGAGGCATAAGCCCCAGAGATTTTTTCAAATTAAAACAAAATTTGTTGAATACGTCCTTCATATAATACCCAAATTCTCAAAAGTCAGCTTGTAATTAATCAAAAGTTTTAAAAAGGAACTGAAACGTATTAAATTTAAAAGTCACGACCTTTGTTACTGATTGAAGCCCTAATTTATGGTATTTTCCAATTCTTTATCTTGTCCGTTAGTCTGTTAATATCTCCCAAAAGCATCAAATATATTTTATTTTTTTTACAAATACAAAGAGAACTCTATTATCCTTCATAGCAGCAAGTTCAAAGTTCAAATTGCAGGTTAGTCATCCTTTTTGTTCTTTCATGTAGAAAACTTTATTCTTTTCGACTCAAGTCACTTGTGCTTGTAAGTAGTGTATAATATATTGTTTTAACTAGTTTTTTGTGGGAATAGAGCAATATATATATATATATATATATATATATATATATAATGCAATTTTACCTATTTATATATATCAACTGTAATTATTTTGTTTTATAAAATATTAAAAATTAAATATTCATGGGACTTATGCCTCGTGTTTCGGGGCTTACGCCTCAGTGAGGCACATGTAAAATGCCTCGCCTTATGCCCACGCCTTTATTTTAATCGGCATTTCTTTTTACATTTTTATCATTACCTAAGTGTGACTTATTGGCTTTACATATTATTGCTTCTGGAATAATAATCCTAATGTTCACTTACAATATGAATCAAAAAAATATTTTTATAAAGATCTTGTACCAATGACGAGGAGTTAACTACAACAACAACAAAATCAGTAAAATCTCACAAGTGGGGTTTGGGGGAGGTAAGTGTGTACGCAAACCTTACCCCTACCGTATGACGGTACGAAGGTAGAGAGGCTATTTTCGAGAGACCCTCGACTTAAGAACGACGAGTAGTTAACTATTTAAAACTAAAAATATACTTTTAAAGTAAGTATTTACGTACAATAAAATAATTATTCTATTATTAATCATTACATAAAAGATATTGCATTATAATTCTCGCAAAATTAGTAAGTAAACCAAACGACTCTTAAGGAAATATGGGGCAAGTGCACAAACAGTCATTCTTAGGGTTTTGTCTTGAAAATTTGAATTAATATCTTAATTCAGGACATTTGAGTCATGACAAATTGAAATGGAAAATTAAATTTCGGGACACATTGATTAATTCCTAAATAGCAGCCTTTTAGAGTGGCTACTGATGTTATTTGTACGGAAGAAATAGGAGAGCAAAGTCCATTGGCATTGAGAGCCCATTTATTGGGCCGAAAGAGCAGCCCATCAAAGTAAAATCTGGACCAAGTAAGGCGGTGAAAAAATCTGCTTAGGCCCAACAAAATTATATCCCATTCGATCGCGCGTCAACCGATCGCCGATTTGTTCTTCGCCGAAGTCAATTGAATCGCCACCGCACTCTGCCACCTGCAACAGCACTCTGGCTAAATTCAGCCGTAAGTTTCCTCTTTCCCTCTATATCTCCTTCAGATAGCTCAATTCTTAAGTGGAAAAATTGAAAGTGCACAATAAAATTGTGAATTGTGAAAGCAGTTTATTCTAAATTTTAATTTTTCGTTTTTTAGCGTATCAGCTCTTTCTTTCACCAGTAAAAGAACTTAATCCCTATTTTGAATTAATTAGGAAAAGTAGGAACTAATTAACGTACCTAGTAGTATGAAATTTGGTGTTCTGAATTAGGTTGCGATGCTTTATTTATGCTAAGCCTCAAATTTGCTCTTTACATAGGTCTTTTCTTTATCTTACAAGTTGATTTGCATTTTCAAATCCGGTTCCCATGCGTATTTGACTCCAAAAGGTTTATTTATTAAATCAAAATTCTGTTTGTACGCATTACAGTGCTCTGTGAGTTTTCGGTGCTTGGAGTATAAGCTTGCCCGGACACTACTGTCATTGAAATAATCTGTCTATGAACCTAGTTCCATGATTGCCTTCATTGGCAAATTAGCTTAGAGGTGAATTTAGTATTTAAGTTCCATGGGTTCAACCTTGAAGATTCTTAGCATTGAACCCATTGTAGTTTTAAAGTTATGGGTTCATACCTACAACATATTGTAATTGTAGTGAATTTGACACATAAAATTATGCTTCACAGTAGAAATACTGGGTTCAAATGAACCCAATATCAATACATTGCATCCGCCTCCGCGTGTGCTGGTTATTGTATTCTGGTTGTAACCCCTCTAGCATTAACCTTTTGCTGTGTATATATTAGTTACTCTTATAATCTTTTGTAAGTTGCAATCGCTCAACTACTCTAATTTATTATATTTTGATCTTGATTTCCAGGATAGTGTTTAAAGAACAGCCTGGTGCAAGGCATCCCGCGTTCACGCAGGATCCAGGATAGTGTTTGAAAAGGTAAAATTCTACGGAACTTGGTGTTAAGGTGACAAACAAAGAGCATGCTTTCGGGATTGAAGTTCCTACCACGCGAGCAGGTAGAAAAGGTGAGGCTACTGACATTTTGTCACACACGGTAGAAATCCATAATGATGAAGTAGCATGAATCGTATTGGTGTCAAGATAAATTCTGTTCTTTTTTGTGATTGTTGATGAATGTTTTTCTTGAAATTAGCGGACAAAAGTTTTCTTATTTGTTTGGGTGGATATATTTTTAACCTTTTTCTTTTTGGGTTCTTTGGTCGTGTATGAGAAAAATGCCTGATGTTCGCGACTAATTTTGTGTTAGGCAAAGGATGAAAGCTTGGATGATTCTCAAAAACTGAGGAGGAAATCTGGTCATAAGAAGGAAAGGGAGAGAAAGAAAAAGAAAAAATTTCGTTCCACTAGTTCAGATGATGACGACCTTGAAAAAATAAGAGCGAGGTCAAAGAAAAAGAAATGGTAT